TTGCTTTGAGACATCAAAGCGCTCTGCTAGGAATGTTCGCCGATGGCAATTTCCAAAAGCAATGGTGCACATGTCATTGGCTGTGAGTTTTCGATTGCCCAGTGGTTTGCGAACTGTTTCATAGGCCATGACAGCATCGCGCAAGGTACCAGTCCTTTTCTGCAGCTTGCGATATCGCATGTGAGCAGCTAAGTCTCTTTTCTGCACTAATGTCCTTCTCTTTGGCCCGGACCCGAAACGGCCAAGGCCCAGGCGCCGCCTCCTCCGCGCCTGATCACAGCGCGTGACAGGCAAACCAAATCCATTCGTAAGGTCTGTACAACGTGCCCAAAACGAAGCATTTTTTGGTCTAGCATTGTATCAACTTATCAAAGTGCAAAGCTTGGTTACCAATTCTGCATCGGATCACCTACTCCTCCAGACTCCAGACTCTGCACGACAGCGGCAAAAGTAAACAGTAAACCAGTGTCAAAAGCTCGGGTTCAAAAGACTTTGGAGTTTGAATCATCTGAGCTGAACAAATCACCAAGTATTGGTGTGCGGCCATGCCTGCTCACCACGCTGCTGGATACCTCTGCGGCAAAGAGCACCAACCTCCAGGCAAGCAGCTTTGACACTGTTAGCTTGATTCTTCTGAAGGCTCCTAATATCACGTCTTTTTATTACCATCGAGGGGGCTGATCATTGTCAGTGTCATGAGTCATATTAGTCATGAGTTTCGACCAGGCATGACAACCAGGAAGAATAGTCCGATTCATTTGAGGATATATACACATAGTCACAAAGGCTCTCCTATGGCAATCGCTGACAATGATCAATCCTAACAACGCCTGCGAGACTTATGACTCATGACTCATGACCTGATCACTCATGACTCACATGAGTCACATGACTCATGACTTAAAGCAGATCACAACAACTCTTCCGCTGACAGCTGAGGTAAATTTCAGCCTTGATCACACAGAGGTACATCACAAAAGAACCAAACACGATGAATACGATGAACATTGGTTCTACAGTAAATGGACCGTCGATTCCGCGTCGATGCTGCCAGCCTCGGTTCGGGAAGCATCATCATCGTCATCATGTTCTGGTCCAGCAGCATGGGCGGCATCACCAGGATCCTGCAAAGCAAAGCCCAAAGTCAACTGAGCCATGACCCAGTGTAGGGTTTCGTGTATGCAGTGAAAAAGGTGACATAATAATACATTGATTGTCATGGTACATGTGCACAATACACACATTACACAAGTAAAAATCATAAATACCGCGAGACAACCTGTCCGGAACAGCATACTAGCAATTTTAGCGGATGCCTTTTGTGATGGTTTGGGTGCTTGTGTGCCCAACGGGAAGCGGAAATGCTGGAGAACATACAGCAGAACAAGCTTCCACGGGGGGAGAGGAGAGCTCACAAAAACAATGAAGAGCGCAACGCCATCTGAAAAAACACGACTGTTCTTCATCATAAATGATGAGCCATGGGCCTGACTCGCCTGACCATTCTGAATCTTCATGAAACAATCGTTTGCATTCGGATTTCATCCGATTCATCCCTGTTTCCTCACCAAGGTCATGGCTGGCACCATCGTACAAGTCCTGATCGAATCAGGTGGCTGTCATGCGGTATCTGGAAGAAAACACAAGAAGCCCGATGGAATGTAGAAAGTTCTATGTCTATGTCACGACTCTATGACTCCATGTCAATGTCTATATTATTCTATGACTCCGACTCAGTCCGACTCCATGACTCAGACTCTATGAGTCTATGTCACATGTCTATGACTCTATGGCTGTGACTATGACTACTCTGACTATGAAAGGCAAAGAAAGACCCGGCCGCCTAACGGGCGGCACAAGTTGCACACCAACAGTCAATCTGGGCCAGAGTACTCTTCCTACGTCTTTTATTTCTTTCCCAGGCGACTCGCACTACATATTTCATTTTGCTTCTGGGCTGCAGGCCTCCAGCAAATCGCAATCATCACAAGAATCTTCTGGCGGAGGGTCCGGGAAGTCCTGGAAATTGCAATTGACAAAGGACCAGTGCTGGGGAAACAAACTAACAAGAAACATATGGAACAACAAAAAATGGAAATTCGATCGCAAGGAAGGATAGGTTGTAGCACAAGTGCAACACAACCATTCCCAAATTCAAACGAACCTTCCTCAACACAGCTGACCATGTCACATGGTCACAGGTCATATGGTGCTGGCAAGCCGACTGGACGTCTCAATGCAACTGTCTTCATTATTTTGTATTCTTGCAACGTGGGCCTTTCACGAAAAGTGGAGAAGTGGGACTGTATTTCCTAAATCATAAATCCCCTCCAGGGTCCTCCAGCAGGTCCTCAAAATCGGATAGGAGGTCCACATCCGAATCGTCCATGTCTCCTGACAGGCCGCAACATCCGTTGAGCTGGCCAAGGTTCAACCCTGATCGAGTTTGGAAGGCTGAGACACAAATACAAATAAATATTGCTCCGATTCTACCAGCTTGTTTCCCAACCCGTGAGTGCTCCAGCTTTTACCCCACAATTTTCGCTGCAGTGTTTGGCAAGGTGCCAGGATCTAAGGAACTAACTACGTGGTGCGTTCTGCAGTGTCACAAGTCATTTGACATTGACCTAGGTCACACCTGGCGCTTGTAGCGGAAGCCGCTGTTCTCAAAGTCGGCAGCCGTCATCCCAATGGCTTTCATCTGGGCTGCGGTCTGCAGCTGTGCGCTGAGGTCCATCAAAATGACGAAGCACTTCTCAAAAAGATAGCCTCGAATGATCAAAGGACATGTTGTTGTACAGTAAAAAGTTATTCCTAGCAGTGGAAAGTGGATGAGTGATCAGTCATGAGGTAGCCACGACTAAAGCTGAGATTGAGATGCCTGCATCCCGCATCCCATCGTATCCAACACATCAAAGCCAAACTCACAGGCTCACTCACTCTAGAGTAGAGCCTAGTCAAGTCCAGAATCTATGGTCGATGGAGATCTTCCAAAAGGAAAAAGGGGGGCCTTCTGCCAGAGAATCTTTCAAGAGGGATAGAGGCTAGAGGTGATAGACCAGTGATAGATGGTGTCGCAGTTTAATGTGCTTCTTGATGGCACTTACAGGGGGGCTACTCCAACATCACCACTGCACCCCGCCCTGCCAAACAAATCGGAAACAGTGTCAGTGTCAATATTTATCATAGTCATAGTGACTATATACAGTATATATATATATATTATATATACTTCTTTTTTAAAAAATAACATATCATTTACATTGACATCATATCATATCATATATAATGTATCATATAGGCTCATCATATATACGGATTATATACGGATACCGGATACGGCATCAATAGTCGGCCCAGTAGCCAGTTTCCTCTTCTTCCAAAAAGGGGTAGTGGAATGACTCATCGCATTCCAGGAACTCAGCAGCAGCCATCAACTCAGCCTGCTTGTGTTGCGGGTCGGGACAACAGGCGAGAATTGTCATGGTCATGGGCCTCGGCTTTGTTCCGGCATTGTACCGTGAGAACTCTTCTGCGCAAGGTAGAGGTGGCTGGATAAAATTGCCTTCATCGTCAGCCGATAGGAAAGCATCCCGGCACGCTGTGAGCAAGGCCACCGCAAAGGACAGCACCTTGGAAGCCTCCAAGTTGCCGGCGTGCATCCTTTGGCACCACATGAGCCTCTCTCGCAATTTCTCAAAATCAGTTGCAAATGCCTTCTTAATCTTCAGGAAGTCCGCTGAATACGCCAATATCACAGCCCGAAACATGCCATACATCAAAGCATTTGTAATTGGCGGTACCTCCGGCATGACCGAGAATGTAAGCGAGCCTTGCCCACAATTCGATAATCGCTGCGGGCCAAATCAAAACTGCGTAGCATACACTGCTCAACTGCTCCCTAGGTTCATTGCATACCGTGAGCTACATGCGGAAGTTGAGATTGGAGTGCCTCAAATGACTCAATGACCCAAGACTACGACTACCGACTCCGACTCTGTCAGTCTCCACCCCTCCCAGTCTCCTCATCCTCGTCAAACTCTCCATGATGGGCGCTGCATTGGCACCGAGAATGCTGCTGAGCGATAACAAACACCATATATGAACCATATGGAATATATGGTATTTAAAGGCCTAAAACTTGTGAAATACATGTCCGCTGAAGGGCCAGAAACATGTGGAAAACATTGCTGCTGAAGGCCTAAAAGTTGTGGAAAACATAGCCTCTGAAGGCCTAATGTCTGTGGAAAACATTGCCTCTGAAGGCCTAATGTCTGTGGAAAACATTGCTTTTGAAGGCCTAAAGTGTGTGGAAAACATTGCGTTTTGAGGCCTAAAGGCTGTGGAAAACATGGCCTCTGAAGGCCTAAAGTCTGTGGAAAACATGGTCTTTGAAGGCCTAAAGTCTGTGGAAAACATTGCTCTTTAGGGCCCTTTGAAGGCCCAAAAGCTGTCGACGTTTGCTCCATAAAGAGGGCCTTCCATTAGTTGACGAAGGGCCCCCCCAATGCATAACCCCCTACCTGGATGGTTGGACAATGTCAAACATCTCTAGGGCTGAGGCTGAGATGGGGTATTTTCATCAACAGTCAACATCAGAGTGAGGGCGAAGACAGCGCACTGGATGGATGGACGGCGAAGACAGCTGGCACATGTCTGACTCATCAGGCCGAAGGTGGACTGAGTCATGGCCATGATTCGGCCTCATCTGTTTTAGTTCAAATAAGTGTAGATGTCAAACAACATACTCATGACAGCAACGCTCAACATGAAAACGCTCCCAAAAAGCTGGGCTTCGCTCCCGAAATGCTCGGACGTGGAGAAGCCAACGTGAAGGACGCAGGGCTGTTGACCTCCTAATTGAAAACAAACGGACCAACTTTGGAGGTTTTAAGGATTCCTAAGACCTAGGATCCAAAACTTCCGAGAGGCTCAACTTATGAGAGGCTCCGCGAACTGAAACCGTGCTTTTCCCCGCGATCTGCTTTTCTCCCAGGCGCAACTCGAGCCGCGTGGGGGAGATGGCCACGGCGGAGACCTCCCGGAGCTGGTGCAGACCCCGACGGGAGAGCGCCGCCGTGGACGTCCGGTGTGCACTCCGACGGCGCCTCACGTGGTGCAAGGGGTTCAAATGGGTTCAATATGGTTCAATGGCCCATGTTGTTTCCGATCTATATAGTTGTCCCCAAATGGATCCGTAGCACGGCTTCCAAAACATTCTTAGTGGGGATCTAACGCGGATCTATACCTTTTTTAAGAATCCAGTTGGGGGTCTGCATATTTGCTGTTAAAAAAAAAAACACAAACTTATTCAGTAAGTAGACAATAAACATAAAGGGATGATTCGTAGATGTGCAGTGATATCGTGAGATAACGAGTTGTTGCTCGACAGTCTACCATTTCTTTCTGTCTCACCTGTGACGGTCAAATGCCAAAGATCCTTACATTTATTCCCAGATGCTCCATGTATGTATGCCATATATATATGCCTACATTGGGGTGGTTTTGGGGGGTCAAGCATATATGGCATACATGGAGTGTATGGGTTTGGATGCGTGTAACCAAAGAGTAGCGACTGAGAGGACTTACAGTGAGAGGTGGTAACATGGTGCATGGTTCGGCGGATCCACTCAGTCCGATCCACTCAGTACTCGCATGGGGGTTCTGTGATAAAGCAATTAGACCTGAATCTCAGTCGGCTTCCAATATCCAATCCATCTGAAAGATGGAGCAATCCATCTGAGTCGCTCCAGATAACTCAGCCCCTTCAGCTCTCCTGGCTTGGCTCAACACGCGGCGACCGGCCACGAGCCCAAAAAGTGCTCTCGTGCTCTCCACCCACCGGCGCAGCGAGACCGCTCTGCGCTCTGCGTCTCAGATCTCTTCTTTCATGTAATCCATGTATGGCCGATCTACTCCATCTCAGATCTCAAATGTCGGGGAGAGCTTGAAGTTTTTGCCATACATGGATGGTCTGGGATGACCACACCGCGATGGCCATCTCCTCCAAGGCAGGCGTGTAGTAGCCTCTGTCTGCGCTGCTACAGCGCTCCTCCCACGACCTTGGCGAGCCCGGGGCTCGCCTCGTAGCGGTCAGCCTCGCCTCGCATCGCCCCATTGGCGACGTCCTTCTCTCTAGGTCCAAGTACCTCCTCAGAAGGTATGACTGGACCCGCTAAACCCACCCCAAACGCCTTCTGAGAAGGTATTTGGAGCCCTGGGGTCTGGTGGCCTCGGACGTCCTTCTCGTCCTCATCATCCTTGGACGACCCTCACTTCGTCACCTCGTCACCTCGTAGTATATATCCCGACCTTCGGAGGCGACCGACCCCAAGGGGTCGCATGGGGTCTAACATCGCTCGTTCCACTCCGGACGCTCCGGGTCGCATCGTCGCCCGGAGTTCAGTCTTGGTCCGAAAAGTGGAGGGAATACATCACAGTGGAGGGCCGGGGGCTTTGGAACTGATCAAACATCATTCTTGCACCAAAGAACCCAAACGCTCAGGATTATCATTCCATGTCTTCATATATGACATATTTGATTGCACATACCAGGACCTCCAAAGTGACCCTTTTGAGACAACTACATGACTACATGTGATATTGAAAAAACAAACATCTTCCGGTCCCATGGAGCTCGTGTCTGAGTCGATGTTCCCTCATCCGCACCGATGTCAATCGGCCCGATGTCAATCGTCCGGGCGGCCGCGCGTTTCGGCGCTCCTCGTCCGCCCGCCTCGTCCTTCAGCAGTGCTGCACGGACGCTCCGCCGCGGCGTGCAGCGCAGGTCCTAGGTCGTGCAGCGCCGTCGTCCGACGTATGAGTCGAGGGTGGAGGCGAGGGTGGGTGAAAACGGGCCATTTGTCCAAAGGAAGGAGAACGGGAAGAATGTGCTTCTGAAAAAGGACCGCATTTGATCAAGTGGCAAAAGAATCAGGACTCAGGACGGTTTCTTCTCTTTCTTGTCTTTACCACTGGTGGCAGTACCTGTCCCAGCTTTTGAGGTTCGTGTCATCGGTGTGTCTAGAGCCGACCTGGTCATGGTAGATGTGCTTTCTGATGTAGAAGGGACAGTGGAAAGCGGTTCCATCCATCAACAGAGAGAATGGAAGATGTCCACCAAATATTCTAAAGAATCTTGCATCTCATTTGACACAAACAAACACTTCCAACCAAATTAAACACACACAAACAGACACCGTTCTTATTTCCCATTCACGCGCTGAAACCGGGTCCCCCCCCGCCGCTCGTCCCGATCCCAGTGGCCCAGAGTCGGCAGCTGCCATCGGCCCCGCCCGAGGCCAAGCGGTCGCCATCAGCGCAGAGGGTGAGCACGGAGTCCTGGAAGCCCGGACGACTGTTGAAGCCCGACTGCGGTCGGTCAGTGCGGTCGAGTTTTTTCAGTTGGTTTGGAACCCCCCGCCTTTTTGGTCCTGGAACATGTATCAACAAACATATATAAATGCACTATACATAGGTTTGACATGGTTTGACTGGGGCTTGTAGGGAAGGGGTCACCTTTTTGGGCAGTCATCTCAAGTGTTTGACCATGGGAGATTTACGAATGAGACTGGCATATGACTGCCGATCAGGCCAGCGGTGGCTGATTTCAGGCAATGTATGTACAGGTAAATATGCTAGTTCCCTGGATGGCCTTGGTTAAGGTTTCTTTCAGTAGAATCAATAACATCCCCACAAACTGGAACTGTATGATACTGTATGCGATCTTTAACTTCTCAATCCAGCAAAATGCTTCATTGAATTGACCCACATCCTTGACTTCCGAATACCCATTCTTGGGGTATTTAGCAGCTCTGGGATGCTCTGTGAGCAACCTCTGTGGATCGCTCACACACTGCTCATCTGCCCGTGCGACCCAACCCACACTTACAACAGGTTTCAGAGCAGGCGATGGAGGTGAAGGAGGTTGAGATGGAGGTGGAGGATAACTCGGGGGCCCTGAGAAGACGCTCTTCCTCATCCAGCCATCCATGTGAGTCAATCTCAGGGGTCGCCATCTCTCCGAAGCTTCAAGAAACGAAGTTTGGAATTCAGGAGCTCCGGACACATAGAGCAAGTGTGCGTTAATGGTTAATGCAATTGAAAGAGAAGCCTAACCACCTCCAAGTGAGGAGGCCGCTTAACTCTGTTCTCACGAAGGTTCAAAAGAAACACATACTATCATGTATGATCATATTATCATGAAACCCTCTATGAAAGTCAGAAGAACAACTGAATACAACATCCAGGAATCCATGTCCACTGAACACAATGGCATTTCTCACCTTCCATCCTCTGCGTTCATCTCTCTCCCCATCATCCTTGTGTCCTTTCAGCTGGCTACGCTGGATCGCCATGGAGCGTCACGGTTGGGTCGTGAGGTCGGGCTGTCGCGACACATGGGTCGAAGTGGGGATGTTCTTAACAGTCCGAGACCGGATGTTCTGTTAATTTCAAGAAGAACACCTGCTCACCAAGTTGTTGCTCAAAGCATTTTTGAGGGACAACATGAAGATGACCTGTGGAATTAAGGCCCCCGGACTGCTCCGAACAGATGACTCAAAGAGCGAAGAATGCAACGCCGCTGGTTGAACAACAAGACTACACATTCCCACCCCCCCGCAAACGTGGACCCTGAGAATGGACCCATGGTTTCGATTGGTTTCCTCTATACCATTGAATGGTTGCGGATGGTTGGGTTGAAATCTGCAGGGGTGTAGGAGACGGCTCTCCTTTTAGATGTGGCCTTCTGGCCAATTCCTCAGCTTCGATGGCAAAGTCCCGGGCGCGCTCTGTTCCACGAGCCCAAAGGCGATTCATCGACGTCACCAATGATCTGCCTTCAGATGTAACCAATGAGCGCATTGAAAATCACCATGATCTGTACAGATTCTGTAGGTCTTCCAAAGTGTTTTGCTAGCCGAAAACTGCTGGTGGTCATCCTGTTGTGCATGTATGAGGCACAGTTCTGAACTGGCGCTGCAGTTGTTGCATCTATGTGTTCGCGATATTTCTCAGCACGGAGCTAACTAAAACCAACCCCAAAAACCCTCCTATATATATATATATGGTACTCCATTTGGGTATGTAGTGAAGCCAAAAGGTCGAAACATGTTGACCGTCAGTCAAGGAAATATATGGTCAACATCGGCCAAGTTCCAAAAAGGAATACTCTGTTTAACTTAATGACTTAATATAAGGAAGCTCATTGAAGAAACAGGTCTACTCAGGTTCTCCGAAACATTTACTGTAAATACTGTTTGAATACATCAACATGGCTAGAAAGACCCTGCAAACTTGGATTCGCTTGGATTGCTCAATGTGTTTTGCTTCGATGGACCCTTCAAAAGCCACCCCAAGAACCTCCAACAGCCCTGGGCCCTGGGATGATCCAACGGTATCAAATGAAAACCGACCTGGGCAAAGATCAACAAATTCCACACACATCTTGAGTGGGATCGCTAAATTGATCCACCAAGACTGCCATATATAGACCTATCCAGTCTTACTTCCATCCCAACGGAGCGTGGGTCCTGCGGAAAGATGGATCCCTCTTGCAGACCCGGAGGGCCAGCAACCCGTTCGACGTGCGAAAGTAAACAGTAAAAGGTGGACCTGGGTCTTGTAGTCTACCATCCATAGTAAGCACCATTGTATGTACCCGGACCATCCATGGGAATAGTTACCTACATGGATGGGTCACAAATGGAGTGTTTCAATGGATGGTAAATGCATGAATGGAACTAGTCCGTACATGGATGGTTTGGGATACTGTACATGAACTATATTCAATAGCATCTATTTATCAACAGGTGTCAAACCTCTCATTCTGGGTCTCAAAATCCTTGTAAGAGATGTACAAACCATTACAAACCAAGCAAAAGAGCATGCGACGCATCAAACATAGACAAGTTGAGGGTCTTGAAACTACCTCAATCCCCGCTTTAAAACCATGGCATGGGACCCGCTGTGGTGGGACCGGGTGTTTTATTCGTGGCTCTGGTGCAGGTGTGAGAAAATCAGAAAATCCCCATCTTCTCTCACACATGATGTGAGAGAGACAAGAGGACTCGCACCCCAAACGACCAGGGAACAAAGCAGAAACAAATGGAAGACTAAATGTGGCAGGTCCTGCTCGAGTCTTACTATTTGAGCCACTGGCGAGGTAGCCGGGGCAAAACAACTTGCCTAAATGACCGAGAAAAACAAACTATATACGATTATTTAAACCTATATATGGACATATATAATCATACATACGGTATACCAACAAATTCGCTATGATCTATCAACACCTTTATCTCGAACGTGTGCACCAACCTTGGAGATGATAAGCTGGCATTACATTCCAGTTTGGTTAGGATTTCATGACCAGCACAAATGTGTAACAAAATAATACTAAACCATACTAAACCATTCCATTGATTGGATTGTCTTGCAGATCCCTCGATACCTAAATGCATTGATTTCAGATTTGGAATATGGGCCGGAGACTATTATCCTCAACAAACAGGTGTGCTCCACTCGTGGAACCCAAAAGAAAGTTCCATAAAAACAACTTGATATGATGTCCCGTTGGCAACCACCCCTACCACATACACTCTTGGCAAACCATTTTGGGGTATTGGTATATAATGGTATATATATATATATATATTGGTTATATATTGGTATACCAGTCTTCAATATACCAGTGTTGCGTTTCAAAGAGTTCTCATCGAACTCCCCACACCTACCCACCCCCCTAGCCTCACCGAGAAAAAACCGACACCCCAAACGACCCGCTCACCCGTTGGCCGCGGCGGTCGTTCACCGGATCCGCGGAGCGAAGGGCATCCGCGAGGGCCGTCCCTCCAAGGCCCTGCCGAGCGAAGCCACGGTCGGCCGTGGCGGCGAACCGGTGTGTTGGGGGGGACAAAACGAGGTGAGTCCGGTTGAGGATGGTTGAGTCCGGTGATCCGGTTGAGTCCGGTTCAGAGGTTTTCAGATTTGAGGAAGTGATTCTGAGGTTGGGGGTTGGCTTATGTCGGGTAAACCCAAGCCTGTAGGTTATAGACATGTGGCTCCATCTACTCCAAGTCATGCAAGAAACTCACGAGCAAACACGCACCCTTGTGTGGGACATGAAGACCTGCACATGTAATTGTCTAGATTCTAGACATCGGTTCCAAAAACTTCAGGTTTTGTATGCTGTATGCTCACTAAACCGGTTCATCTGCACGGACCGGAAGAACCTGACCGACCTTTACAGAGAAGAACCTAACAAACCTCCTCATCTTCCTCCAGCCCAAAGGGGCCCAGAAACCTCTGCGTCGCCCCATCGACCCGTCTCCTAGACCGGTCGTATGACTGAAGAGTTACATTCGGGTCATACATGGGGTCAATGTATGTAACTACGAGAGACAATGGATGGTCATAAATGGTCTTTTCTTTTTCAACCACCCCAATGTAGTATCCCAAACACTCTTTGTATGGAGTATATGAGTCTACATTAGGGTAGTTTGGGGGTCAATGCAAGCGTATATTCCATACATGGACCTGGATAGTCTGGGTAGAGTGGGCTAATAAATGACTAAGACATTCCACAAACAAACCAAAACGACCTGGTTGGAACACCCCCTGGCCCAGCCAAACCCTGGCATGCTGCTAACAAAGGCCTTGCAATGCCCGAAACTGGTTTGATCCCAAACTCTTGTCAACTTCAAGGAGACTGAGCATGCTACATGCAACACATGCAGCAATACCAAAACGAAGATGTTGGCGGCGTACCTGGGTTCCTACAACCTTTCTGCTCAAGAAAGAACAACAGCCATCAGTCTATAGATACCCACCTGAAGTGATTCTGAAAAACCCAGTTTCGAAGCTATTCGTGGTGTGAGACCCTAAACCTACCCAGGTCAGGTGGTCAAATGTTGATCCAACGAACCCCAGACACTCCTGGACTGGCATAGTTACATGCATTAACCCCATTTATGATTCTAATGTAAGTAATTACAGCATACATGAAGTGCCTGGGTATCATCACATGTCATTATCGATACAACGGCACTTGGTGCATCTTGGTGCACTGTTGACCCCTTGTCACTTTCATTCAATTTCCATCCGGACATCCGGCCGTAGTGGCAAAATCTGGACAAAGCATGGCCTATGCATGACCTATGCAGCCTACGTTGGAGTGGCATACTATGGTCCTTCTATAGGTATGCATTCCAGTCTCATGGAGTCTGGCGGACTGGACACATATCCTACATTCACCCCAACTCAACCAACCATCCCAACTGATCTGAAGTCAACATATCCTGATAAACTGAGGTCTTTCTAGAGGCCCGCAGGCCCGCCCGAGTGGAACACCCTGTTTCTCGTTGGAACACTTCGCTACCAAAAAAGGCACCTGCAAAAGGTAACATATAAACAAGAAGGAACATGGGTATGTCAATACTTAACCCTAGCCTTCAGTTCGACCATTAAAAGAATGGTTGACCTGGTGCATATAGTGTAACAATCCATAGGAAAACAAGGGTTCATTCTTCCAATTCTAGGGTTTAACCATCCTCAGGCCCCACTTGTTTCGTCGCCCCTCTCCCGTTGGATTCCACAAGTCTCGGCGCCTGAGATAGCGGTCGAACTCTCCGAGCATCGCTCGCACATCCGCGAGCTCTAAGGTGACACTGGAGCACCTGGCCCATGTGTGTGTGCTCTGGAGTGTGGCCCGTATGTGCGCTCTGGAGTGTTTCCGCTGTTGGCAGTGTTCTACCTTCCATTCCCAGTAATATAAGCGGACTCGCTCTTCGTCGTGTAGGTCAGCCCAGGTCGAACGTGTCTGTTTACTTCCTGTTTGAGGTGAGAGCAAAGCAGGGCAAGGAGAATCAACAAGGGGAACAAAAGGAGAAAGGAGAGGCCAAGGAGGTTCGAGTGACCAAAACTGGGGTGGATTTTAAAAAATTGAACTCTGCTCAATAAGCCACCGATTTGCGCAATCAAGTTCCATCAGTCGCAAATTCTCCGCTTCTGCCACCATTCGGGCACAGCTACGCAGGCCACTCGTCGACTCGCTTCATCGGTCGGGTTTTCTATGGAATCCACGTGGGTGAGGTGCAACCAACCATGGGCATCGAGTAATAGTGCATTCGGCGTTCGAACTATAAATTGCATTCAATTGCAACTTGTTGCTGCTTGTACGACCCTTTGATCAAATCGAAAGTACCACTTAGGAATCCGTCAAATTTAATAATGTTTGATTTGCGATCTGTCGCTGAAGGTCTTTCCAAAGCAGTGTCAAGTAAATAGCCCCAATCTCCAGAGCGTTGATATGTTCATGATGAGTCCACTTGTTTTTGAAAAACTGAAGCCACTGCCATCAATCAGATAGTACACTCTGCCTTGGGTATGCACGGGGTTTAGGAC